TTCTAATAAACAATTATAAATTTTATTTCCAGCTCTAAGTAGTTTTGCACATTCTTTCCTCCACACATTAAATAATCATACATGTTGTAATATCATTCATTCATTCATTCATTCATTCATTTTTTTGTTGATTTATTTATTTTTGCCATACGGTATATGTGCTCACCAGAGACAGAGAGAAGGAGAAAGTAAGAAATCACCAACCAGTGGAGATGGCCAGGCCACAGTCCCTTCTCCATTCTCCTCTAAGGATTTTTGGCACACATAGACATGTGTCTGCATGCTTTTCAAGTTGCTGGGTCTGGAACTCAAACCGCAGAGTTGGCCCTGTGGAATCCAGCACCTCAGCTACCATGGCACCTGCTGGCCTTTGAGATGTCTTCTTTTTTTTTTTTCTTTTCTTTTTTTGGAGAGGTTTTTGCTATAGGGCGCGTGTGCTCGCCAGACACAGAGAGATAGAGAGACAGAAAGCGAGAAATCATCCCCCAGGGGGGTGGCAATGCCGCAATCCCTTCTCCTCCATTCTCCTCTCGGGATCTTGGGCATGCACGCACATGCACCTGGCGTGAGTTTTAAGCCACCGGGTCCAGGACACAAACTGTGGTCGACTACATGGGAGTCCAGCGACATAGCCATTACACTAACTGCTGGTCCCTCCAAGATGTCTTCTTAACACTTGTTTCCCTTCTCTGAGACCAAGCAGCCATATTGATAGGTCATGTGTATATTAAATGTCCAACTCTGGCTGAAAACAATTGATTAAGCACTAGGCCCCACTACTCCAATAGTATTCTTTTCCTAGGAATTTGGAATTGAAATTTAAAGACTTTGATTAGCTAGGTATAGATACTACATATGTAAAAACCTAGAAACTTAAGAGTGGGGCTGTCATTTGGCAGTGGCCTTCTTCAACTACAGGCATAGAAAAGAAGAAAAAGTTTCAGATGGAGAATTAAACAGACCCAAATGAACTAGCAGATATAACAGTCCCATAACATCAGAAAGAGACTGAAAACAAACAGCCACCTTGGTAGTAAATAGACATTATATGGAGGAAGTGAAAGAAAACTGGACTCAGGTGAAAAGAGTTACGGTGTCTGAATAAATAGCCAGAAAATACTATTACCTTTATGAAGGACATTAAGGTATTAGTTCTCATGGAATAGGAGATCAACTTTTAGAGGTACAGAAATAATAGGGAGCCTAGAGAATGAAGTATTTTTTTTTTCACTTAGGATATTTTTTCTTGAACTTTTAAATGATTTAGTCATGAGAGTCCACATGCATGCTTATGAGAATGTAAGACTGAGAAAGATAGAGTATGGAATACTTTCCACAGGGTCTGCTCACATTGTAATACTCTTCCTCCAGGCCTCCTGCCCACTGCATCCTAGGAACTTGTGCCCAGAGGCTTTTAGGCTGACTGAGCCAGGGACTCAAATCATAGTTGCCATGAAAGATCCAATTTCTCTTGAGCAGCATATTACTACTCTACCATGGAGCCAACCTCAGCTGAGGAAATTTTTAAGTGATGTAGCACCCTGGAAGAAAAAGTATAGCAGGACTTTTTAGGTAGCATGACAAGGCTATGTTTTCCAAAGTCCAAGGATATTGGGGATGATGGATCCTCTGTGAAGAAAGGGATCAAAATGCAAACATTTCCTCTTGGCATTGTATATTATGAGATCTTCATATAATGATGGATTGGGATCAACTGCCATCTCCTGGCAGGAAAATATATAAAGCACTACAAGAAAAATTCTCCAGAAGGGAAGGGAAGAGAATTTAAACTAATGAACTGGTATAATAATAGGCCAATATAAGAGAAGAGTTGGGTCTGACAAAGCATCTCATTAAGGTCAGAAGCTTTTAAGACAGAAACTAAGACATGAATTTTAAGGTAAAACAACTGTAACTTCAGAAAGATACGGATAGAGGTCACTAGGCCCAGCAAATCACTGAAGGGTATAGAAGTACTATTCCAACTTTCAAGTATGATTTTAAGAGTCATCATGTGATTCCATTCACCAGCTTTTCCCCTCTGCCATGAGACCAAAATTTGTCAAACAGAGAATGCTCTTTCAGCATAGGTCCCCAAATGAAGATAATATGGAATAGAGCTGCAGCTTAAACAAGAAATAAATCTTTCTTCTTGTAAGTCACTAAGATTTTGGGGTCCTTCATTAAATAGAGCAAAACTTGGTCTAAACTAACTGATATAACTGGTATAACCGAACTCCCATAAATATTAGTTCATTCTTCAGTAAATCTCATGTGAGAACTTCTCATGTGGACAAGTTCATAGAAGGAAGGGCTATTAGCAGCTCCAAGGTTAGAGAATCTTTGCAATTTGAACTCTTTTTCCCACAGGAGATTCTGATACTTTTCAATTGCTATTTCTTTGCTTAAAAAAGAAGAGTCTGAGATCTCTAAGAATTTAAGAATTAAATTTTCTTTGAAAAATTCTTAAGTTATCACCAAGAAACTAAGAACTTACTTCCATCAGCTCTTCTTTGCTTGGGTCTTGTTATTTTACTTAGACAATCTTGATTGGGTTTCTTCCCCCTCCCTAACCATGGCTCTTCTCCTTTTTCCATCTTGGAGATCATGTCTGCTTTAGGAGCTTGATATCCTGCTCATGAGAAATGGTAGAAACTGAGTGTTAGAATTATATCCAGCCCAGAAATCATGCCTCAACATTTGCACTTCAGAGCCTTTCTGAAGTTTCACAAAGTAAATGCCCCTATATCTCAACTGAGCAGACTTTCTACTATGCAGGCAGGAGCCAAAGTATTCTGCCTAGTACCCAGGAAGCATTAAAATTCCTTAACCCATAAAAATAAAGGTCAGGATAAGCCAGGTGGTATGGTGGTTAAGACAGCTGGATCCCACATGGCTCATGCCATGGTTTCAGTCTGGGGCCTGGCAGTTTGAAAATCATGCTAGCCGTTGATACGTGCATGCCTAAAACTCAGAGAGGAGAATGATGGAGAAGGGATTATGTACATCCATCCCCTTGGAGGATGACTTCTCTCTCTCTCCAATGAGTGCACACACCCTATAGTAAAATTAAAATCAAGGCCAAATCTATCAAGGACTTGAGAGAGAAGATATCATACTGGACATATTTTTGAATTATGAAAGAATTGTCCTTAGATTAGCAGGTGGCAGAGTGGTTAAGGTGCTGGACTCTCACATGGCCGACTGGTTTGAGTCCTGGACCTGGCAGTTCACTTTTTCACTTTCCCTCTCTGTCTCTCTCTCTCTCTGATGAAAGTAAAAAATAGTAATTATGAATAAAATAAAATAAGTTATTCTTTAAAATAAGAAAAAGAATTGTTCTTACCCACTGAGGCCAGGTTATTACAGTTCTCCAGCATCACATCCTTATACAGGTTTCTCTGAGCAGGATCCAGCTGCTTCCATTCCTTCTGGCTAAAGGCCATAGTCACATCTTCGAATGCGATCGATCCCTGGTAACAGCATAATCCGGGTTCAGCATTGTCTTATCCACATTTGGTGAATGATTCAGACAAGCTAATAATTTACTCTTACCCTGACCACTCACTGTTGATCATAATGTTATATAAGACAACTACATTTAACCCAATTTTGCACTTTTTTGAGAAACAAAAATCAAACTAAGAAATGTCCCTGTAGTGGATTTGTTTATTCAAGACCATAAAATCATATAAATATCAGATATAGAATGAATCAAAACCAAAACATAATAGTTGTTTTTCCTTCTATAACAATGGATGCTAAAAGGTTAGGAAGTGGTATTTATAGTTTACATAGAGTTCTAGAGAAGTCGAGCTGTTAATTTCTATAATAGGTCAAAAATCATTTGTGTTTGGTGACAAAAGTAAGAAATCAATAGTTTAGGCATGTAAGGACACAGTATATATGTACTGTAGAAATAGAGATGGTGAAAGAAACACAAGAAGAGAAGGAAGAAGGAGGATGAGGGAAGGAGAAGAAAAATAAAATAAGTAATTTTTAAAATAAGGAAAATTGGAGGACAGTTGGTGGTGTGGTGGCTAAGTCAGCTGGATTCCTCATGGCCGATTATGCAGTTAGAGTCCTGGACCCAGTTGCTTGAAAAACATGCTGGGTGTGTTTGCATTCATGCCCAAAATCCCAAAAAGAAGAATGAAGGAGAATGGATTGCAGTATGGCTATCCCCCATGTGGGGGAAGAGGGTACTTAATCACTTCCTTCTCTGTCTCTCTCAGTCTCTCTCCTCTGGTGAGCACACATGGCCTCTAACAGTATTTTTTTTTAATTGTTTTAAATAAATAGGGGCTGACAGGTGGCTTGGTGGTTAGGGCTGTTGGACTCCCCCGTGGCTGACTATGGTTCCAGTTCCAGACCTGGCAGCTTGCTTTCTCACTCCCCCCACCCCGTCTTTCTCTGATCAAATTAAAATAATAAAATGATAATAAAGTTAAAATAATTTTTAAAAATTGTTTTAAATAAATAAAAGAAGGAAAATTGGATCAGAAAAAAAAAAAGATTTCCTGCTTGGGAAAGACTTAATGGATAAGAGAGAATCATGAGTAAAATTGTCTGGATTGGGTTACTAACCTGAGGATGTGTTTGTGCAGCTATTATGAAAGTATCCTTAAAATAAGGAGTAATGATATGAAAAAAATATAAGCAGCAGGGCCAGCAGGTGGTGTAGTGGTTAAAGCACTAGACTCCCACATGGCTGACAGAAGTTCAAGTCCTGGACCTGGTGGCTTGAAACTCACAGAGGGTATGTCTGTGTGCATGGCCAAAACCCCAGGAGGAGAATGGAGGAGAAGGGACTGCATTGTGCCTATATCTCCGGGGATAGGGGGTGGTGATTTCTCACTGTCTCTCTGTCTCTCTCTGGTGAGTATATGCACACTATGGCAAAAAAAACTTAAAAAAAAATAAGCAAAAATATAATTGGGAGGGATTTGGATTAGGAGAGAAATTAAAGCATGTTAAAGTTCTCCTCTTGTGGAGCCAGCAGGTGGTGTGGTAGTTAAGGTGCTAGACTGTCACATGGCCAACCTCAGTTCAAGTCCCAAACCCAGAGGCTTGAAACTCACATCAAGTACGTGTGTGTGCATGCCCAAAATTCTAAGAGGAGAATGAAGGAGGATTGTGGTGTGGCCACACCCCTGGGGGATGATTTCTCACTTTCCCTCTCTATCTTACTCTCTCTCTCTGGTGAGTGCCCATACCCTATAACAAACATCTAAAAACAAACAAACAAACAAAAAAAACCACTCCTCTTGTTAGGCAGGTAAGATGAGGATGATGAAGCTATTGGGAAAATTTTGATACCAATAACTAGACATTTAAACATTTTGCTTAACATATAATCTCTGACCGCTACAGACTACCAATTACCTGCATATGTCACCAATCTCTAACCCTGCAGACCACTAGTCATTGACTTCTCATAATCTCCCATCATTAATTGTCACTGGCCTCCCAATCTCCTAGCCAGTACATTTCTCCCTAATCACTGAGCCTATAATTCCAAAATGACTGAACCCAACTAATCTCACAACCACTAACAGCAGATCTCTCCAATCACTTACTCCTCCACCCCCACAAACGCTCTGATCACATATCCCCACAGGTTCCTCAACCACTGATACCCATAAAACACAAGTCTATCTCCCATATGTCTCCAAGTCCTTCATCCTATCCATCTTCAATCACTAACACCAATAGAACTCTTAAGCAGTGGCACTTAGAAAAACGCTAATATCAGCAACCTCCACTTCACTCTGAATCTCTTTAAGCCATTCCCTTTGGCTGCTTGGTTTAATTGAAATCTGTCTCCTCAGAGTCCTACTTCCTTACAGTGGTCTCAAGTGGAAGTTGTTTGTCTTTTTATTTTTTCTCATGACTCATGTACTTCAGTGTTTGAAGTTGAGGTAAATGATTACCTCAATCATTTCTTATTCCTCCTTCAAAATCTCTAACTTCTTTAGAATGTCACGAGATATTAACCTATTAACCCTCCGTGGCTCAATAATTCACTGAGCATACTGACAGGATTCAGCATACAGTTGTAGTAAAAGTTATGATTTATTACAGCAAAAGGATACGAGGAAAATTACTAAATCAGCATGGGGTGAAGCCCAGAGGAAATCAAGCACATCACCATTCTTGCCTTTGCCTATTACAATAAATCCCCAAATGACCTCCCTGTGCCTCCTCTGCAGCTCATCTTCCATAGAGTAATCAAGGTAATCTCTTTAAAGTGTCAATCAGATCAGATCATTCCCCTCCTTTAACTCAATGATTTTTCACTGCAACTGGAATAAGAGCCAAATCCTTACCCTGGACAATAAGATCTTGCCATGGTCTGGTACTTTCCTACCACTCTGATTCACATCTTTCTACTTTCCCTCTGACTGTAGGGAGTGGCCCAATCTGAAAAAACATGGTGGCCTTCAGCCAGATATAGAAACATGTGAGAGTTTCATTTGCATAGCTAAGAAAGCATTAAAATTAGAATATGCTAACTGCTGTACTGCAAAGCAAAATCTGTCTAAGGAAACCACATGTGTTATTCAGATTTTGCCCAAAAGGATCAGAAGAAACCAAGTGGCACCAGTAGTTTTCACATCGACAGCCGATTAACATCTGAAAACAAGTGGCTTTGCATTCCATTTCCTCTTCCCCCATTTTCTGCCCTGTAAAATAATAAATGAGGCTCGTTCCAGGTTGTGGCTTTCTCCATCAGAGAAGTCGGCCCCACTTGATCCTCACTTTTCTATACTTGTATATCTTTGTGTGTTTGTTGTTACATTTATTTCTAATCCACAGTCTCCCCCATTCAAAAAAAACTTGTTCAGTCGAGCAAGTCCTGGCAATTCTCCAACCACACTAATCTTCCTTCTGTTTTTTTAAACATACCAAATTCATTCCTACCTCAGGGCCTTTGTAGTTAATGTTCCTTCTTCCTGGGACACTTTATTTGCATTTCTGCATGCCTACCTCTCATTATCATTTATGCCTCTGCTCAAGTGCTATTTCCTCAAAAAATGTTTTCCTTGATTTACCTGAATAAAGCCACGCACTCTATAATTTCACTCACTCTTTACTACATTATCCTCTCTTACTTTCTTCATAGCGCTTACTAGTGAGTTTGTGAAATTATCTTATGTTTTGTGTCTTTTTCCTATTTCTAGAATATAAAGAAATTGATAGGTACTCTGTGTTAAGTTTGATTTGGGAGTGGTGGCAAAGTCAGAGGGGCAAAGGTGAAAATACCGGTCAGGCTTTGAGGTTTAATAAAACCAGCATAATTTATTCCTCGGCCTGGGGAGTCACACCCAGGGTGGGTGCTGCTCGTTCTTAAAGGGCCATTGTCCAATAGGTGCTCGCCATGGGTCCTTGTCTGGCCAATGAAGTTCGCGGTTTCTGTTCAGCTTTGGAGGGTGCGACAAATGCTGAAGGGCAGGAAAGTTCATTGGTGGTGGCGGGCCAGGTGTGGACAACAGGAAAGTTCCTGCTGGCGGGAATGTTTTCGCCATGTTTCTTTTCCCTTCCCCCAGACCTTACACTCTGGGTCTATTTTCTGTGTTCCCAATACTTTAACCACTCACTTACTGGTATAAAATAGGTATTCATTTTACAGATGTTCTGTTCCCACATGTTTATAATCACTGATCCTCAAATATTGCTATCATTAGTCTTCTCAAACTTCTCTGTTATGGAACTCTACAAGTTCCAATCACCAACCTCCTTAGAACAATCAACCCTTAACTTTTCCAGACTTCCTATCACTGACCTCTAGAGAAACCCCTACTCACTAAACCCTGCAATGCCTCTAAACTCCTGACCTCTTAGGCTCCTAGTCACAGAATCATAGAGGGTCTTTAGTCATTTAATTTCTGCTAATTACTTCATCACTGAAAGCACAGTTATGACTCCTAGACACCACCTAATCACTGATTTGCACAACCCAATCACCTTTCCTTCCAAGATAACAAAAATTATCCACTATCCCCAAAGGACCTCAACATTGACTCCTTAAACTCCACAAAGGACTATCCACCCCCTGTCCCTAGATTCCTCCATTACTCATCATAGCAAATTAATCACTGAAAAGTCACTGCTAATCAGATTTCCACAAACATCATCATCACTGACCACCAGGCTCCAGTCTCTGTTCCTCATAAATATTCCCAATTACTGAACTCCGAAACCCCAATACTGGCCCTCTTTGACAATGAAGTCGATTATGACCACAGGCACCCAAATGGCTGGCTCCCACAGGTATTTCAAGTCGTCTCCTTCACAGATCTTCCCATTCTCTGACACATCCTGATCTCTAAAGCTTTGCAAACCCTGATCTTTCAATAACTTGCACAAATGCCCCCCCCCCACCTCCTTCCATTCCTGTCTGGGCAGATCCCTCAAAACACTGATTTCCTAAAACTATAGTACTCTCTGATCCCATATCCCCATCTATCATGACCCTAAGATTCTTCAGAACACAGACCACCGAAAAGACCTACGGCACCCACTCCACTAATCACCTCTCATCACAGACGATAATAATCCTCCAATCACTGCCCCTCAATGACACCATCGCTGACGGACAAGCGGCGCCCCATCAGCGCGCTCACCGTGGAGCTGGCCCCGGGCTCAGACGCAGCCATCTGCAGCGGACTCCCGGCCTCGCCAGCGGTTTCCGTCCTCCTCCTCTGGTCCACGATCTCTGGCTTTGTTAGAATTTGGTCGCAGCCGAGGGTCGACATGGCGGCCACTCGGAGCGCGGTTTCAGCGGGTCTGCAGCAGCGATGGCGGCGCCCTCGGGTGCCCTCGGGGAATCGCCCATGGGCGCAGCCATCTTGGCATAGGCCGCGCCGTACAGCCGAAACGCAGGGGCCTCTGGGACCTGCGCGGGGCCTCACTGAATGAGGGGATTACGTGGAGGGTCGTGGTGAGGTCTGCGGGACAGTGTCGGGCGCCCGGCTCCGTGATCACTGCTGGGAAGCCCTGGGGCCGACACCCCGCCTCTGGGCGCTCAGAGAAGTCAGCGCGGGAAGACCGCGCACAGAAATCGGAATAGCTTCTCCGAATTAGTCAATGTGAGCAGCTGCTTGAAATCTGAGGATCTCAGTGCTGAGTGCGCATTCCAGAGAGCTAGGAGGAAGAGAAAAGTCCGCTTGGGCATAAAACATTCTTTTATAAAGAGATGGCGTTAATCTTTGAGAGAGATACCAAACCTTTCGTTTTTGGTTTAAGAAGGATGTGGCCGGATGGGGAGTGAAGCTGGAGGTTAA